AATAGAATAGAATAGAATAGAATAGAATAGAATAGAATAGAATAGAAGGGAGGGACCTTGGAGGTCTTCTAGTCCAGGGGTCTCCAGACTCCAACCTTGGCCACTTTAAGCCTGGCAGATTTCAACTCCCAGAATTCCCCAGCCAGGAAAGCTGGCTGAGGAATTCTGGGAGTTGAAGTCCTCCAGGCTTAAAGTGGCCAAGGTTGGAGACCCTTGTTCTAGTCCAACCCCCCGCTTAGGCAGGAAACCCTATACCACATCAGACAAATGGTTATCCAATCTCTTCTTAAAAACTTCCAGTGTTCGAGCAGTTACAACTTCTGGAGGCAAGTTGTTCCATGATTATTTTTTCTAACAATCAGGAAATTTCTTCTTAGTTGTAGGTTGCTTCTCTCCTTGCTTAGTTTCCACCCACTGCTTCTTGCCCTGCCTTCAGGTGCTTTGGAGAATAGCTTGACTCCCTCTTCTTTGTGGCAACCCCTGAATATTGGAACACTGCTATCATGTCACCCCTAGTTCTTTTCATTAAACACCCCGGTCCTTCTTTTCATTCACTGCTATCATGTCACCCCAGTCCTTCTTTTCATTTCATTAGACATATCCAATTCCAGCAATCATGCTTTATATGTTTTAACTTCCAGTCCCCTAATCATCTTTGTTGCTCTTCTCTGCACTCTTTCAATCTTTTTTACATTGTGGTGATCAAAATTTGGATGCAGTATTTCAAGTGTGGCCTTATCAAGGCATTATAAAGTGGTATTAACACTTCATGTGATCTTGATTCTATATCTCTGTTGATGCAGCCTAGAACTACGCTGGCTTTTTTGGCAGCTGCAGCTAGTTCATATTTAAATGGTTGTCCACTAAGACTCCGTCTAACAGTTACTACTATTGAGCAAGGTACCACATATACTGTACTTGTGATTTTGTTTTTTTTGCCTAAATGTAGAACCTTACTTTTTTCACCACTGAATTTCATTTTGTTAGATAGCACTCAATGTTCAAGTTTGTCAAGATCTTTTTGTATCTTAAGCCTATCCTCTGGAGTGTTGGCTATTCTTGCCAGCTTGGTGTGATCTGCAAATTTGATGAGTTTCCCATCTATCCCCTTGTTCAAATCATTGGTAAAGATGTTGAAAAGTACTGGGCCTAAAACAGAGCCTTGGGGTACCCTCCTGCATACTTCTGTCCATGTACATGCAGTTCCATTGAGGACTACACACTGAGTGTGGTTGGTTAGCCAGTTACGAATCCATCTGGTGGTGATTCTGTCTATATTTTTCTATCTTATCAAGTAGTAACTGGTTATTTTATTTCACAACCTTTGACTAAAACAAGAACATCAAAAGATGTGAGACAACATACCTGCAGTACTATTAACAAGGTGTGACCTACAAACATAAAGACAAATCCTGGAATAATTTGGCAGATTGTCTCCCATTCCTGAATGAAGATTTTGACTGTATTTTCCAAAATGCTAAAAAGATACCCATGAACAACTGGCTGAAGATAACACTAACACAAATGGGCCATTCCTGGCCAGTTATTACTTTTTGTATCATGGGGTAGTGCAACATGCCAAAAACTGCATTTATTTTTGAGAGAGGTGCCAAAGACCATGGTCCAAAATGGGCAAGGACAGGAAAAGGGGCACATTAAAATTGTATTTAAAAATAAATAAATACATTAAAAACATTTTAAAGTTATTTTAAAATTAGTAGGTGAAGGGCATGAAGTTTGGTAAAATCTCATGTAAATTTGTGAACACTATTCAATTTCTTATAACTTGAATCGAAAATAAATAATTCATCAGCCATGTATTTTAGAGAAACAAATTTCATTACATTTTGTAATTTGTCAAGCACTAAGAAATGAAAATACAGCAATGTCATTATGTATATTTATTACCTTTTCTTCCAACCAATCATATTTATTATAGAGTGATTGTTTCCAAGTGGCCTCCTACACTGCCAGTAATTTTCATGAGCAGATGAAAAAGTGTAAAAACCACAGCAAAGTATCTGCCAAATTTTTGTGTATGTTATTTATTTTTATACAAGGTAAGAACCACTTCTCAATTAGATAATAGATAAAATTTTATGTACTTGTACATTTTTTTAAAAAAAAGGGTGGGGTGGGGAATCAGAACCACCTACTTTCAGTTTACAATACAGGTTTTGTAGCAGTTCCATGTAAATAAATAATTTTCAACTTTTTCTAAACTTGTAGAATGGAAACAACATAAATTGAGAAATGTCTGAACAATAAAGGTACAGTTCCGTTAATGCTGACACATTTGCAAAGAAGATGGTTTGTCAGCACAGTTAGTACAGAAAGGATCTTGCTGGTATTACTCCAACTAAGCTATTCATAATAAATACTTACTGGTCAGGACCTTGAGGGTGTAAGGATTTTTCTGCTGGATGGTATGTGTGAAAGCAAAGCGAGCATTGCAACTATAGTCAGTCAGAGCATCCTGCTGCATGACATTAGAGAAATACAAGTCACCATTCTGCCCTTGAGAGACACGCTTGTCTTGATGTATAGGTTCCATGGCTGGAAGAAGGAAGAACGATTCTTTTTAGAATTCATAGCTGTGTTACATAGCTATATGCTACATTTCATAGCTGCACTGGAACCTATGATAATTACCTACTAGGCCTAACAATCTTCAAACGCCACAGATTAATTCCTGCTAGCATTAAGAAGCTGGAATAATTGAGCCACCATAATTATTGTGATGAATGGAGATAGGAAAAACCTTTTGAGATGCTTTCCTTTAATATGAATCTTTTCAATATGATCATATCAAGTATACAGTGAAATTGATGAAAACAATTTATGGATTCATGTAAACATGAGTTGCTTTTGTAGTCAATCAACAGAGTTTGTTTTTATTTATTTATCTGGACAGCTTATCTGGACATTTATTTATCTGGAGAGCTTTCAGGGGGCACAGGGATGAGAAGACACCAAAGAAGTACATTTCAAAAAGTGTGACCCTGCATATATATTTTGGAAAAGTACAATGCAACAGTTTGGGACAGAGATAGGACAAAACATCTTGGACCAGTTCTGTCTGCAGTTCCAGCATTTATTTGATTAACAAGCAACAGGTACTTTCGGACAACATTTCTTCTATATTGCTTTTGAGAACATGGACGGAGAAAAAATTGGTAGATTATTCCTTTGCAGTTATATCATAATTGGAAAACTTGTCCCTTCGATATATGTTATACTTTAGCTTCCATTAGCCTCTTTCAACCTGACAAAGATGAAGGACTATTATCCATGACATCTGGAGGCATAGTTTTTGCCTATATATGGTGAGTATCCACAAGGAACCATCTGATGCATTCAGCCTAAGATGTCATGGAACTGTCTCATTTTAAATACAATTATTGCCACCTGAGTCATGGGCAGACTTACAGCTACTCATCCAAAAGATAGCAGGGGGTGGTAATCCAGGTGGAGGATTGCATGCCAAGATAAGTGAAGCACCTTCGTGAACCTCTTGAATGTCCAAATTTTCCTTTGGCCACAAAGGAGATTCTGAAATTATAAACCTTGTTAGAGAAATTGCATCTATTCATGCATTATATTTAAAGAGAATGATTCAAGAAGATTTTTTATGAAACAACCCTGGGATAATGAATAATGGCCAGCAAAACAGTGAGAGTGAGAAATTAGACAAGATTCAAATGAATACAGAAAATCTCTATTTAAAAAAAACATTAAAAAAGATCGAATAAAGGAGCACAGGAATCTAAACTTTGAATAAATAGATCCTATTTATGAGCAGATTGGAAACAGTAAGCTGTTGGTGAAAGTAGTAATGTCTGCAGGGGAGGAATCCAACATCTAAGAGTCACCATTCTGCTCCAATTGAATGATCAAAGCTATGAACTTGAGTTTTTTTAAATTACCCCATCCTAAAATATGCTTAGGAAAAGGTTCTTAGAGTCATAAATTATACATTTACAGAAATACAAAAATTGTCCAAGTTGCTGCCATGGAAGATGGTTGCTATTGTTTTATACTGGTGTTGAAACAAATATATAATGCTAAAAAATCTCTTTCGCCTCTTGGTAAGCAACAACACTGTATTTATTAAACTGTACATGAGCTTATTGCATGCCAGAAATGTTATGACCATTCTAAATACAAAACAAAGTTCTAGCGAACTAAACCATATAACTGATAAGATTATAGAAATGCACAATGAAATCAACAATTTGTGTTAATGTATACTCACTTGAAACATGGAGGAATATTTTGTTGGAGATAGCTGTTCCGTAGTCATTCCGAGAAAAACACTGATATTCTCCCTCATAATCCTCTGGCCTTCCACCACTGCGGAAGTCAACTACCAGTGTACCTGACCAATGCCTCATGGTTACTCGAGGGTCCTTTGCAACATTAAAAAACTTCCCATTTCGTGTCCAGGAAAACCTGTAAACAGCATTGCATCAAAGACTAGTAACTTGGGTCTAGAACAGTGCCTCTATTGCTATATGATATACAGGTTATCTGAGATCTATTAACTTCCTATGCAGTAATGGATCCTGAGTCCTACAACTTGGATGAAATATAATACAAGGGTATTCACCCATTTAGGATTTAATGGTATCAAAGACAATTAGAGATGAAATCTACATTTACATCATATCTACATTTGATGCTTATTAAAATAATCATGATATGGCAATTTTAAATCCCAGGATGCACTTAGGAAGCCTAGAGCTATGGTGATTATAATAGAACCTTTAGGATGCAAAACTATTGCAAACCACTCCAGAAACACTTTGATTATGTGATATACTTAGCATGACACACCCCTTTAACAAAACAATTATTTTATACTGGAGTGAATACAGTTGTTTCCATCTGCTCTAAGCCACATGATCATGAGTCATGTGATAAGCATGGGTCTAGTATTGGAGAAGAAATTTTTCCATTTTTGCTCATCATAAAGTGACTGCCAAAATAACTTAACCATGAATTCTGTATAAGTCTAGGTACAGTCATTCTAGTAGGGATACAGTAATCATTCAGATATTTGTTTGTATACTACTCTTGAGAAAATAAACTACAATTACACTCACGTGGGTGTGGGGTTGCCTTTTGCTTCACACTCAATAAATATATTATCTCTTGGATCTACGATATAATCCTTTGCAGACTGTTTTGTAATTGTAGGAGGCTGAGGCACTGCAAAAGCATATATAAGAGAGGGAAAGAAAATAAAAATGAAGGTAAGAGGAAAAAATTACCATTCCATATTGAAATGCAGTTGCTTTTTATTTCACTCAAACTTTTCAAGTCTTGTGAGATGGAATATACATTTTAAAAATATTATAAAATAAAGCAAGGCTAATCTGGGGGGGAAAAAAGCACTTTCAAACCTCGTCAGTATTTGGAGAGAATCTCATTAGGAAAGCTGTATTGCTCTGTATTGCTGCCAACAAACCGATATGGATCTATCTTGTTTAAAGGTTTTACTTATAAATCCTTTTCTTCTACAAGAGGAAGTCAAGAGCGCAGCATACATATCCATTACCCCAAATGCTCATTTTCCTAATTCTAGAGCAGGACAGCTGATCCTTTGTTTTTTTTTTCTCCAGAAGTACAAGCTAGTTCTCAACTTACAACTGTAATTGAGCCCACAATTTCAACTGTAAGTTGAGATGGACAGAAAGTGGTCAGCACAAGACTGTGCCCGATTTTATGACTTTTTTGTGACAGTCATTAAGTGAATGCATCAGTTGTAAAGTAAACATAGTAGTTATTAAGCAAATTCTTCATTTGATATGGGTTGGTTGTTGTTTTTTTGTGCTGAAAACCAGAAGTAAAAATCACATAAGTCATGGTTATGAGACCTCTGTGTGCTGCAAATGGTCGTAAATGTTGGCCAGTTGTCAAGTGCCCAAAATGTAAGTAGCTTTTTTGAGTCCACCATCTAAACAACTGGTCGCAAGTCGACAACCACCAGTAAATTAAAAACAACACACACAACTGCATAACTTTTGAATATTTTTCTCAATCCAGTAGATCAGGTTACAAATTGCTCCCATTTTTGTTTAAACTACTTACCTGTATAGTGAAAGAAGTAAATTTAAAAACAAGCTGATCTTCCTTGACTTTTCTTGGTGACTTTTAAAAATGTGACCATGACTCATTGAAGCATTTCCTGTTCTCTTTCCTCCTACTTTAACAAACTTTATCTATAGTCTGGTTGGTTCTTCCCTCTATTCCACCCCCCATGGTTGTGGCTCAAAAAAGCAGTGTGAAGTAACCAGCTAGATATTAAGCATATCTCTCCTGTTTTTTGAACAGAAAGTTTAAATAAGAAAGTTTAAATAAGAAAAGAGCAGTAATTATATTTACATACATATGTTTATATTTTGGACTAAGAAAAGCGTCACTTCTCTGAAAAACAAAAATACGGATATATGGATATAAAAATATAATTTACTTATGATACACTTTGGAATTCTGAAATTCAGATACCATAATTGTGAGGTTTTATATTTGAGGGCTCAGTTGACTATAAAGCCCAATGTTTTATTCTAACAAGTTAATACAGAATCTACTTCAGACTTATTAACCGCTATACAGGTTGCTGCTATACCCAGGTTTCTTAAAATACAGAGAATGTTATTTTGGGGTGATGGTGGAGGGAAAGGTCAGAAAACAAGACTTACATGTATCTTGAATACTTGCTGTTAATTCGAAGGTGTAAGCACAGCAATAAAAACAAAGAAGAGAGAAACAGGAATTGTTAATCTAAATGTTTAGATCTAATATTAAATACCAAAACGGGTAAACAAAATGTGCCATTTTAATGAATATTAATAGTATTAGCTTAAATATATTGCCCTGAGTTCCTGTGAAGAAGAATTAGAGAAAACTTTAAAAAAAGTGGGGAATGACATTATTAGCAAAATAAATACATACAGATATGAATATGTTCGGACATCAATAAGGCTACTGAAGACTATTAATGGATAGATTTAATTCATAGTCAAGTTCATAGGTGTTTCTGTATCCTTCTCCAGTCTAGTGCCCTCTAAATATGTACGATTACAATTTCTTTAATCTTCACCCATCAAAACTTTTAATATCTAGCGCAAACCTCACAAATGCTTAAAGTATAGTATTTTAATGTTTTACCTATACTGTAAAAATCCTTTATGTGGCTTAGAGGTGCAGAAAAATAGGATCTTAAAGACTATTCCACATTCTTGTTTAGATGGTCATATTTTTGGTAGTTTTAAAAATGCAATTACAAACAGCATTCAAGTGATTTATAACTCTTATGTGATGCATCCTATGCCACTGTGAATTATCCAGGCATCCTTCTTCACGTGGGGAATTTACCTATGACACAGAAGTCTGCACTCCCAGAAGACCTCACCATAATCCTGGCTGTATTTTGTCACATCTACACAATAATCATGAGAAAAAGTTTTAAATATATAGCTATTGAATGCACATGTTCCACCTCATTTTATCTTAGGAAGATATTACATGATACCCTCCAATCACTAGACAGAGTTCAAACTATTTGTGAAAAGAAACACATCACTTGAAGCTCTAGGGATTTAAAAAAAAGGATATAACAGATACACCTGTAGTGGTGAATTGAAAATCCCAATGACAGAACTTAAAATAAAACAAAAGTTTGCAATATTATCACAAATAAGTTTTTTTTTTATTTTCCATGCACCATCGTTGAGGTAAATTATTGCCCATGTAGTTGCTAATGATTTGTTCTTATAAGCTAATTCAACGTATAAGGTCATGCTGTGCTTCTCAGAATCAGCAGATTGATGGGATGCTTCATACATCATTCACCACTGTTACTATCCAAAGAATGTCAATACAAATATATGGACATGTATAGAGAGTGCAGAAAATGAAAAAATATATTCTGCTGGTTAGAACCGAAAGGTTTTTGGCTACGAACTCCTATAGGAATTCCATAGTGGTTTCACAAGGCAAGGAGGTCAAGTTTGGTTAGTGTTGTTGCTCAAATTGTGATAGATCCCAACTTTTTGGTCACCCATCCACAGATATTTTCAGGATTTGCTTTCATTTTCTCTCCTTAGTGTCTTTTCTGTTCTAATTGTCCTAAATTAAATCCCCAAGAATAGCTGTGTTTCAGTCCATGTCCATACCAAATATGTATGGTTTGAGTCAGACATAAAACATACAACCAAGCTATATTGTACACAGTATGGCTAATTGGTTTGCCAACCTCTAATCCCTTAGATACATACCCATCACATTACCATTTCATGATAGGTGTTCTACAGAAAGCAGAAAAGAAGAAAGAAATACTAAGCCAAAGAAATGGAAAGCGGGATATATACACATATTTACTTTATCCCAACACCATTCACTATGCCCATCTGTATGAATATCAAAAGATAATTGCTAAATTTTCTTAAACCTTTCTAATTTTTAAAAATGATGATATAATACCTATTAGGGAAGTTCATATGGTATTTATTTGATGACAGTTCTAAAGTCAATGAGATAAGATTTCCTTTTATGTAGCGTTGGAGAAATTTATAAATAGATTTGTTCCCTTTTTTTCTTTTTTACACCCTTAACATCATTTCTTCCTATATTCATGCCAGTCTACAGTTGTTCTTTATAGCCTGCATTAAAATTTGCATATATGTTAATGTTAATTTCTCCTTAAATACTTGTTCTCATGTATACTGCTTTTAGAACTACTTCCCAAAACAGTTTTGGTTAATTTTTCATAATTATATGCTTTTAAGAATAAATTTCTTTAGTATAAAAATAATAAAAGGTACATTTTTAAAAAATATTATACCTCAACATTTGAAAAAAGTGAACATTTTAAAACCATTTCAATTTACGTTTTGGTTCAGAAAATGCACGCCAGATGATTTTATCTTAACACCCATGTCAAATTGATTCCACAAATTTCCTGCCCTATTCTTAATTTTGCAGAAATAAGGCTTATTTCAGGGGACTTCCGGTTTGAGCTTCTTCAGCGACAGACTGAAACCTCATCTCTGTGAGGCTTCGATCCGTGCTCGCTGCTGAAGCGCCCCGAGCCGGCTGGTTTCGGGGCTAAGCCACCTCGTAGAGGTGATGAAGAGAGGGGAGACTGCCTGCAGGGTTGAGGAGAGCCGCATCTCTCCTCCCCAGCTGGCCATTACTCCCTTTCCCGAAGGCGGTTGCAGCGGTGGTCAGAAATGGCCACCACAAAGAAGAACTCGACCGAAAAAGAATGTGCAGGAGGAAGATAAGAAGAGAAAGTTTCAGTTGACCAGGTCAAACAGCAAAAGCAACAAATAAGGTATCCTGGAATTGAAACTGTTAAAAAACAATAACATGGTTCCCTAAGAAGATTTTTAAGCTGCGAAGGAGAGAGAAAAGGGAAAAGATTTGGTTTTCTCCTTTTCCTATACTGACAGCTAAGAGACTTAAACAAGATATTGGAAAAAAATCCACTTTGACATCAATAGGCATTTAATGCTGAAAATAAAAAGTCAAAGGGATAATAAAGATTTCTGGTTAATTAAAAGCTTTTGAAAACAGGAAAGGAGAGAAAAAGAATAAAAGGATAGGATATGGAAGGGAGGAGACTGCCTGGAATTAAAAAAGAACTTACAGCAAAATCTCAACAAGACTTCCAAAAGATACATTCTAACTGAAATATCACAACAAAAACCCCAGGAAGAGAAAGTCGAAAAAGAAATAAGAAGATATAACTCGGGACTATCTGGATTACTTGATGATTTCTGGATTCTTGGTTATTGTTTTGAATGACTAAAATCAATCGGGTGGTTGTTTAAAACTGTTTAAAATGGCTCCACTTTTAGAGAACTGAAAATGGAACTTAAAAAGTACAAAGAAGATGCACAAGAAGGGAGAGGTTCTTTTGGCTTCATATTTCAATTTTTAGAAATGGAGATTTGGAATTATGAGAAACAACAAGAAATGCCTGCAGAACAAGAAGATTGCGACAAAGAAGAAGCCATCTTTAATGAACAAGTAATCTTAGATGGGGGAAAAAAGGAAAGGGGGGAAAGAGAATGGAAAGTTTAAGATTGGGAAAAACAACTCCAAAAAAAATAGAGTGAAAAATAAGTATAAAATCAGAAAGCAACAGAAGAGGGAAATGCAGAAGAGAGAATTAGAAGTAGAGAGACAAGGGGGTAAAAAGGGGAGGGAGAAGATGAGAGGGAAGAAAGAAAGGAAAAGAAGTTATAAAGGACAGAAGCAAAATATAGAGAAACAGGGCCTATTTAGAGATAATGGGTGAAAACTTAATGGAAAAAGGGATTCTGCAAAGGTACATAAGATAGTATGGTTATATTAGAAGCAGAAATAATTTTAGAAAATATGAAACAATGTATGATTAAAATGTCTGATAAAATAGCTATCGTAATTCAGTGGAACGCTTGTCAATAAATAAATGTAACAAAAGGTATATTTAATGATTTATAAAAAGTATGTGAAGAGAAATAAGGGAAAAATTAATTATGGAGATTATATGTGTTTTTAAGGAAGTATGATGTTTAATTGAAAAGAAGTGTTAAATATGTTAAGATTTTAATGATTATTAATGATAGAACTGAACTGGAATGGAATGACGGTTTATAATTACATATATTTACAATCTTTCTTTTTTTTTTTTAAGAATATAGTGTGTATTATAAGAATGTGCTAAGCAGAATTCGATTGGAAGTTATGTATTATGTATTATATTGAAGGTCATAAACTTAAGGTATATATTGAAGTTTAAATAAGAATTGAATGGATGTAATTAAAAGATATAAAGGTGTCATACTCCAATTAGTAACTACAGGAGAAAATTTGTTTAATGAGAAAAGATAATATGAAATTGAAACAGAACAGACAAAAGTATAAATATAATGATTTGAATTGAGATGAGATAATCAAAATAAAATTGAGAAAATTAAAAGAGGGGAAAAACTATATAGAAAATGTAAAATAGTATAAGATATGGAATAGAATACAAGACGGAGCATGAAATTGAGTTTTGTGTCTGTATAAAGAAGTTCAACCCGGGACCATGCTATTTTCAAAAAAGATGTTTTACTTGTATTTTGTGTGTGAAAACCCAAATAAAACTTTATTAAAAAAAAAAAAAAGAAATAAGGCTTATTTCTGGCTACTTATTCAGTTATTTACACCATACATCAATCCATATTCCCATTTTAAAAATTCCTATGAAGTAATGTATATCTTGTCCTCCCAAAATCCTTTTGTTTGTTTATTAAAATATGATTTGCTATATAACAAATGCCTTCTAAAATCAACAAGTTTTCTGATTCCACAGTTGAATATGCAGATCTGATACTCTATTTTCAATGGTAGAAATATTCCTTAAATCATATCCCTACACCACACCTGTATGCAATGCTAATCTCCATGAAGGAGGGAAGCTTCTGGGGTCAGAGAAAAAGAGATCATTTGCCTGGAAAGTTAGCAATTTGCACAGTTATCATAAACCCACAGCAGCTGTGACTATTTATACACCACCTGCTCAATTTATAAAACCTGGAGCCTTTCAAGCTTACAAAAAGGAGATGAATTAATTAGCTAAGTCTCTGCCATGGACAATGAGCGGACATGAGAGGACTAAGAGAGACCAAGCACTTTCTCTGTTAAATAAAAGGAAGATTAAAAATCCAATTCTCTGGCAGCTTGC